TCTACTTCTTTTTTAAAAATTTGTATTTACTTATTTTTGCATACAACTTATAATCTTTAAAGATTTCAAGAACTTTTCTAAGGTGATATATATGGTCTTGCTTTGTCTTACTATATATAAAGATATTATCAAGATATACTATTACGAATTTATCAAAGTATTCCCTGAAAATATCGTTCATTAAGGCTATAAATGTAGTGAGTGTATTTGTAAAGCCAAAGAGTAATACAAGGAATTCATAGTGACCATATCGGGTATGAAAGATAATTTTATGGATATCCTTCTTTTTAATCTGAATTTGATGATATCCAGAATACAAGTCAATTTTTGTGAAATATTTGGTATCAACTAATCTGTCCAGTAACTTATCAATGCAGAGAAGGAGATATCTATTCTTAATGGTAATTTTATTTAAGGTTAGATAATCAATACATAACCTCAAAGTTCTCTTTTTCTTATGGACAAAAAGAACTAGAGTACCAAACGGAGAAGTGCTAGAGCGAATAAAGTTTTTTTATAATAGTTCAGCTAACTGGCACTTTAATTCGTCCAATTTTTCATAGGACATTTGGTAGATGAGGTGAGATAGGGTTCTGAACCTGGTACAAGATCAATAGTATAGTTAATAGTTCGTTTTGGGGCAAATAGTCAGATAGGTTTTTAGGAAAAACATCTTTAAAATTTTGAAGAATCTTTTGAATTTCTGGTTGTTGGGTGTTGGTGTCTTTATTACTTTTTTGACTAATATGTATAGTAAAAATTTCTTTACTATTAGACACTTTGGCTAATTGTTGCTAGGATATGAATACTGAGTTACAACTAGGATTCTTAGATATTTTTTGGAAGTCTGCTTGGATTTCAATAATTTTGGACCATACTGGAAAACCAAAGTATTTTTCCTCTAATTGATATTGGAGTTGGCATGATACAACTATAGTTTTCCTAAAATAGCATTGTAACATTGAAGCTTCAAGACTTGTGCTAATATCTTAGAAGTGTAGTAAGGATCTAGTTTTAACTTATTTATATTAAATATCTTATTCGTTTGTACCTTGCTTTTATCTGCTAATTTAACTGATAAGGAAGAAACAGTTTTTAATATTAGTTTATTTTGGGTAGCAAAATCATTGTCAATAAAATTGCAGGACACTTCACTATCAAGAAGAATCCAAGCAGGGTGACCATTAATTTTGCCATTAAATTTCAATAACCGTTTGCGATTTTTTTCTACTTGTATTAGTTCTAGGCTATTATTGGTTATGATATGTGGTGGCTGGTTAGGTTCATCCTTGATGTTAGTAAGTTTTTGCTTTTTTTTGCTTCTACAATTTTTTATATAATGTCCTGACATTTTATATTTAAAACAATTCCTCTTTTTTTTTCATAATGCTGACTACTTGAAGAGCTTCTGGCATAGTCTAGTTCTATTGGTACAGGTCTACTATTCCCTTTCTCTAGTTTGTTTATATATCATTGTAGTTTGTTGAGGGTGGTAGTGAAGGGTCTTCCTGTTCCAAATATTGCAGTATCAAACCAAATTGCTAAGTCTAATGCTTTATCCAAGTTGGCTGATGCTTGATAGGTGACTTCTATCCGAGTTGTATATTTAAGACCTTCAATAAAATAAATAACTTTATCAATTTCATTCATGTCTTTGATTTGTTCTATGATATTACGAAATTGTGTTCTATAGTTCTAAACAGACCCAGTTTGTCATAACTTTTTGAGCTATTAATGAAAGTAATGTTGATAATTAGAGATTGAAAAGTGCGTCTAACTGCTGTTGCAAAGTCATTTTATATATCAAATACGGTGTTGTCCTCTGCAGCTATAACTTTATTTAAATACCAATACAAAGCAGCTCTTTTGAATCCTGTGGCTATATAATATATCTGAGTATTATCACCATCAATTCTTTGTGTGCAAAAGATACTTTGAACCTGAAGTAGCTAGGCTATACATACTACCGAAATAGGTTTTTAAAAAACCTTATTTTGTCTCTAATAGAGCAATTTAGAATTTTTTATATACATAAGCAAATCTAATTTAGGTAGTTATGTTCCTTATAATTTTGTTTCTTCAAAAAAAGTATCAAAAAAATTTGTCTTTTAAGTAAAATAGGTCAAAAACAATTTCATCTTCAAATTTTAATTTTGTACTCTGAAACCCAAAATAATTTTGTTAGCATGTATAAGCCAGACAACAACGTTTTCTTGTAGCTCATCTTTGTAATTTGGGATTCTAATACTAATCTTTGGGTGTTGTTATTATTATTAGAGACAAGCTATGCTATATTCGTATTGATATTTGCATTCTCTTCTATGTTAAGAGCATCTGTCAATCCTTGTTGCGTTTGGATCAATGTGGCAATAGCAACTAATAAGTTGTCCATTGTACTAATTAAAAAAAAGCAGTGTGGGTATGTTTAATATATTTAGTATGTGAAGGTATTTGTGTATAGTGTGTGGATGAAGTCCATTGCTACCAAATTGTAAGATTCTAAAAAATTGGATTAAGAAAACTTAAGAAATGTGAGCTACTTTTATTTTTTTGTTTGTTAAATTCTTTTTATTTTTATTTTATTTAATCTTATAAGTTGTTATTTTTATATAAGAAAAATATTTGTGAATTTATAAGAAATACATAGAGCTAAAAGTACACAATAAGTTTCACTAATAAATTAGTCGCAGATTATTAATATAAATATTAATATATCCCAGTCTTAATAATCCTATTTTCTGGAAGTATAATATAACTTATAAAGGGGCATATAATAAATGTCACAGATTATCGTGAAATTGGATTATCGTGAAATTTGGATCTATTTTATGTACGATTTTTAAAAATTTTTAGAGCCTTTTTTGTAGGCTTTTTTTT